CGGTGTCCCCGGGCAGCCGCCGCCATCGGGAGGCCTCGGGCGCTGCCTCAGGCCTCGCTCTGCTCTTTCCTTCTCAGGCTGAAGATCTGGTGGCAAACTTTTTCCCAAAGAAGCTGTTAGAACTTGATGGCTTCCTTAAGGTAAGTTCTATACATCCGTATCCTTGCACATCTTCAAGCCGTGTGCTGGAAAGTGACCTGCCAAGGGACAAGGAAACCTATTTCCTTGGGCCTTCCCCCTTATTAGCAAAGAGCTGAGCAGTGTCTCAGGTTATCCTGGGCACGCTTGAGAGTTGCTGACCGTAGAGGGTGATTGTTTCATTCTCTGGTTTTCTCTATGGGCCCAGCACACTTATTTTGCATGAATATTCACTAGCTTTCAATACTGTGGTGTCCCAGGGATTCCTCGTGCCCAGAGCTGGGGTTGGCTTTGATCAGTCTGGAGCCATCGTTCCCCCCTTGGGCTGGGGGGTCACACAGCTCTGCTGCTGGGTGTTTTTTCACTTTTCCTCCTTTTGCAGATGTATCAGAAGGAGGCCTGAATCTTTTGCCCACTAACTGCATTCAGCACGCAGAAGTCATTAGCTTCTAATTAACAAATCTGCATTATTTTGCAGGAGCCCATCCTGAATATTCATGATCTCACTCAAATCCACTCGGACATGAACCTCCCAGTGCCTGACCCCATCCTTCTCACGAACAGCCACGATGGACTAGATGGGGTAGGGTTACTCTCTTGGCTGCGATACCTCCTCCCGTTAATTAAATCTGCATGGTTTCTGTGTTTGATTAGGATGTTCTCATTTAACAACAGGCCATGGCTCTCCCAAAGGCTTTTAGGAATTGGTCTGTAGAGCCTGGGAAGTCTGCTGGAGGTAACACTGTATTTTGCAGTCCTCCTTCCTGTTTTAAAAGATACATAGAAACCAGGAGCATGGCAGAGGCTCGAAAGTTTTCCTTTGCAACATTGTTTTAGGTTGCGGCTAGTTTGTGAGTAAAACGTTTTGTATATTTTAGCCAAATATGAAAAAGAGGAAGCTGGAAGACCGTGAAGAGACCTTTCAGGGTAAGAGTGCCCCGGTGTGTGTGCTGAGCCCGCGCGCTGTGCGGTGGGGTACGAGGCCGTGCGGCCCCGCTCGCCCTGCCCACGCAGACCTTCCCCTGGAGCCTCTCGTGGTGCGTGGGTGTCCTGCTGCCCAGGAGCAAGGCTGCAGCTCCCGGGAGCAGAGCTGGGCCCGCTCGGATGAACACGAGCAGTTTTAGCTTGAGCTTGGCGTGCTGACAGGCAGCTGGTGTCTGTGTG